CATCAAAAAACTTGTTCGTTAACGAATTAAGTTCAAAAAAAAGAGTGAAAATTTGTGATTTGTGCCTCTCTTTATTGCACTGTTTTTAGCTTCTGCTGGTCTTTTTGAAGACTTCACGTAATCGAGCACTAGAAATTAGCAGACAGAAGGAATTGTACTTACATAGGATTTAGACTCTGCCATTTCTAAGCATACGGTAGAGTAATGCCGACCTGGAAAAAACTACAAGTTTCTTGTTTGTGAACTGCACTTTCATAAAATTAACCGACAGAATACACTCTTGAAACAAATGAGTTCCGTTTCAGACAAAGATCCGAAAAGATACATAAAAAGATTTCAAACAACAGTGAAACAGAAATAACAAGCATATATCTATTTCTCCTTCACCTTGCTCAACCTCGTCGTTTGAATTGTCAAAGCATAAGTTGAAGCCTCCTAAAGTTAAGTACACTATACGCTTCACTGTACGCAAAAATTTCTGTAAAAAAAGTGACTCAAGGACAAAACGAATCTCGCGTCTCGAAGTGATAAGATGCAGTTCGTCTAGGTTTCGAATGGAGAAAACCCAGCTTCAAACTGTCAAAGGAACAATGGACAACGAAGCACCAAAGAGTTTCAAACGGGATGGCGGAAAAAGAGCATGATACGACGTTGTCCCGATTCCTCACTTAACAGTTAAGAGTAAATATAACAAGGGCTCATATACACTACGTTTCTTCAGAAAGAGTCTAAATTTTAAAGCGGCAAAATATCGTTAAGCTGCAAGCTGTGCTGCGTTCGCGAAAATGGTGCAGCGATTGTGAACTCAGAATCAATATTCCCAAATTCAATTCGGTTCTTTTCGCAAAACAAATCTACTTAATTACATTGTTGCTTGTCTTTCAGGCGTCATTCTGGGTTGTAAAACACAACACCAACAACGGTACGGCACGCAAACATGAGAAAAAAAGCAATGTTTTAGTAAAAGATGAATAAGTGTGCAAAAAAATTGGACAAGAATGTTTGCCATGTGGAAATGATGCAAATTTCTGTGAATAAACTTAGAAAAGTAGGCCCTGCAAAGAAACCATGCACAGTGGGCACATCATTAATCTTTAAGAAATCCTGCACTCCCTAACGTCGTTTCAGATCAATACACACTGAGTACAGAGCTTTGCAAATCCCTCCCATGCAGTAAAGAGCCATGATACAATCATCTTCCCTAATTTCTTTACTTTCAGCAAACTTATCATAAATCCCAAGCTTTATCATCTTATAGAAGTGCCTGCTTCTATACCGTTAACATTAAAACGAGTGACCCAAGCATTTAATACACTCAAATGTCTTAAAGCATCAGAAAACAGTCGGGCGAATCACTGCAAGCATAGTCCCTTCCAATTCGTGGTCTTCCGCTTCTCTCTCCGCTTCAGCCTATCGCTGGTCTCTCATTGGCGGCAACATATTAAACAAGGAGATTTATTAAGCAAGATTTTTTTTGTGTCATATTTGTAATCGGCCATTTGATCATAATTCTACCATGTGATACATTCTTACATTTTTAGTTCTGGATTACGTTTTACACATAAAAAAGTGTGGACGCCATGATATAAGGATAATAAAACAACAAAATTAGAAGGGCCGAGATTGCAACACCATTGAAACAGTTTATTAACACTTCCAAGCAAGAAGAAGCCTTATTTCTTTCTCGTTAAATACCGATGAGTCAAGTACTGAGTGTAAGTTACCAATGTAAAGCTTAAAAATAACATTAAGTGATAAGAATAGTGCCAAACAAAAGAAAGTCAATAAAAGCCATAGTTCGAATGATCAGACCCGAACAATATTTCAAAGGCCCACTAACCAGTTCTATGACCTCTACTCCACTCTACCTGTTGTTACACACGTTTTTTATGTCTGTTACTCAAAACGCCTTGATATTAGGACTATCTTTAACAATAAACTTTATTTCTCAACCTAACCCCTGAAACTCCTTAAATATGAATGTAATACGTCGAATAAACTCCAGCCACTCTCAGATGGTTCTCATTATGACCGACAAAGAAATTGTGTTTTTTTACTGATGCCTTTTTTCACAAGTAAACAGTGAGCAGAACAGAAGAAGCAACTGGCTAACTGGCGCTAATGATTCGGCTAAACAACATTTACTAAATGTTCGAGTATTTGTAAAAAACAGACAAGAAAGAAGCTCTACCTCCAAATAATAAACAGCAAAAGGCTTTCACAACCCGCCCTACTTCGAAATCACCACTTGAATTCATCCCTTCTATCCATTAAAACTAAAATGAGTGTAGATGGACGTGTGTCGCAAATACTAGGCAGTTCAACAATGATTGGTACTTTATTCTATGGAATAAATATTCAAAAGACCTTTGAATTTCAGGAAAAAATAGTTTGCAAATCTACTTTAGTTATTCTGAAGAGAAATAAAAAAACGAAAAAACCAACCGGCAACTAGAAACAAACTGGTACTTTTTTTTAAACTTATAAGACAAGAAAAATATTCCTTTTGTAACTTTAAAAATAATTTTGAATTCATTTGTTGAGGTATATACCTATAAATTGAACAACAAGGTATACAGTAACCCAGAAAACCATTGCTCTTTTGAAGTGCATTGGCGGTGGCCAGACAGATTGCAGAAACTGACGTTGACAAAACTTTAAAATTCCAAATGATGTAGCGACGCCTAGGTTCAGAATGCTACGGACACAGATCACTGTAGCAGTTAACGGAAAACAAACGCTTGTTTGCTATGTGGGTCAACGACAACTCAAAAGTGCTTGATAAAAGCAAGGAAAGAGACGCAAAACATTTAAAAGGAGGCACATTTACTCTCATTTTATGCTCTTACTTCACTTTTTTTAGAAGTTTGGACTTGCAGTCCACAGTGACCCAAAACATTCATGTCGCAAAAATTCAACTCGAAAAAGAAGTAGGAAAAAGACAATATTAAAAAGCAGTTTGCAGAACTAGTTGTGGGCAAAAATATTTTATGAAGTGTAGGTTATTTATTAATCTGAATTGCATTAGAAATATCGCTTTCAATCGGTTTCATTGTTTCGTACAACTTCTACAACTCCATGTTTTTTTTGCCTTCCATTCCTATAAGTCTTGCAGTGATTCAGTGCAACTACTCAGTCTTATTTAAAGACAAGAATTGGTCGTAAAGGATGAAAAGACGACTCAGAGCTAATAAACGGGATTCTGTAGTAAGGAAAATGATGATCACGGAATTGAGCTCCGGAATGCAATAAATAAAATTCTACTTATGATGTTATCACTTACCTCCTCATTGTTAATAACTTCAAAGGTTCGTACTGCATTTTTTCGTTTTTATCTTCTAATTTGTCTATAAAGAAAAGATTGAAAGAAGAAAACGGAGAGGCCTAAGGATTTTTTGAATAACAGTTTTCAAAAAGCCCAATATTCCGTAAAATAAATCTTCTAGCTAAAGAGTAATTCTGGTTAAAAAAACAGCTACCAAAAAAAAATGTTTCGTGAAAAATTTGAAAAGTATAATTTAAAGCAATTCCGTATATAAGAATAGGAATAAAGATTCCTCAAGCGGAAAAGAAACCGATTTACAACCAGTGAGAGCAAATACTGTTAAAAGTTTTCTTTGTTTATTCATACTAACCAGAGGCCGCTCTGGCGAATTTTAGATCTCCACAGCAGCTCCCGTCAAAATTATAAATGTGAGTCACAAAACGAAACTGAGAGGACCAGCATTCTCCCAGTAGTGGGGTTCTTTAGCTTCAAAATTCATTTTTAAAATATACTCCTCTTCAGAGCGGCAAAACTCTAACTCGCTGGACTTCAGCGATGCAATCAAAACCAAATCAGATCGGATAGAAACACTTCCCAGTAATGGCGATAAAATCGTTTCCCATCTTTCCTGGCGCTTTAACAACGATGTTCATCAGAACAAAAGCTTGCCTAACAGAACTTCTGCAGTTTTGATGGCGTACTCGCTTTACCCAACTCGTCTCCTCGTCATCGACTATAATAAACAACAGCAACTCTAGGCTCTGATGATAAAACTATGTAAATAAACATAAAACAAACAATTTCAACGCTCAAAACTCCTGAAACGTGTTACCACTCTGAACAGCAGTTTTTGGACGGAAAGCGATGGGCGGTAGCCAATTTCCGATCGACAACAAACCACAGAAAGATGAATGGATGAAAGAATAAATCGATTGCAAAATTAACGTTCGGTTTTGTCCTGGCAACACTGCTTTTTCCAGAGAAGTGAATAAATGAAGATGAGACGAAAAAAAGGAGAGAACAGAAAACTGTTTTTCCCTATTGCTGTCGAATAGACATCTGTGGGCACAAGAAACGTTTCTCGCTGCACTCCGACAGCGAATTGTTGCTCTGGTGATGGCTTTGTTGTACACTACACTCGCTCACCTTCTCTCCAACTGCCTTTCCATCATTGCAGTGCTGCATCATTACCAACACCACCCTCAGATCCCTGAAACACGGCCAAAAAGTAGTGCCGGTGAATTGCTAGAACCAAAAACGACGAGTGAGCGCCAGTTGGAAAGAAAACCCGCAACAATCCCATTATGCGCTAAAGTAATGAAAAGATAACGTTTCATCAGGAAAGCAAAATTTGAAGTAAAAAAAAAAAAGAAAACTGCAGTTTTTTTTACATCATAATTAAGCTCTGCAAGCAATTTTGTGCTAAATGAGCGGCCGTGATACGATTGTACAATTCCACAAATTCCCATTCACTATCAGAATTTCTAAAAGAAATAAAACCAACAGTTTCAAAATGCAAAAACAATAAACAAGACTTCTTTACTTTACTACAACAAAATGTTTCTTATTCCACCAAACCAAGCAGTAGTAATATTTTTGGATGAAAAGCGACGCAATAAGACCAGTGTCATTTTAAACACTCAACATCTTGTTATACGAGCGGCATAGAACAGTTATAGAACAGTTTTAGCACTGTATAAAACAATCCATGTCCCGATTTCTACCTTACTTCTGCTTCACACTAGCCTTGACGATCATTTCACATGTACTCACTCTGGTTGCTGAAGTCAACATTAAAGCTTCAACTCAGTAACCAGCGAAGAAAGAAAAAACCGTTCAAATAGGATAATTGTATAACAACTGTTCCAGTAAATTACTGAAAACAATCTTAGAAGATATGATCTACCGCAACAGTAGCAGATTTTGGAAATTCAAAGCTCCGACTGAATGCCACTCAAATTTGTCATCGATGAAACCGCGGCGCTTCCATCTAGTTCTCCGTCGTTCGCACTATGTTTTCGAATCCATTACATAATACTTTCCTTTACAAACTTTAAACTCCGTTTTATGAAACCTTCCCCTTGCTTTTTATGAGACCTTTTTTTGCAAACCTCAACAATTCACGTTACTAAACCCGTGTCGAATTACTCATCGTCTTTCAAAATAAAAAAAAAATGACAGACGGAAGAGAACAGGAACGAAATGAAAGCTAAAAAAAATTACGGCTCGTCATCATCACCAGTGTTGGACAATCAAATTTTAATGGTTTAGCGATGGATGTTTATGTAAGGTAGAGAAGTTGTCCCCATAAAAAATATAAAAGAACTATAATTCAAAAAATGAC